ATAAAATAAATATCAAAAATATAAGTCTTTGTTTTACTATGGTTGCAAAGATCAAAAAATTTCCATATGTGACACGGCACCAGAGTTCAGTTAGGGTTTTTCAAAATGCTGACACGCCGAGCTCAAAAGGTTCGCCATCACTGAGATAGACGAAACGAGTATACAAGACGAGTGTGGATGGGAGAGTTGGAAGGGGTTGACCTCAGCGAACGTAACAATATAGCTCTAAGTTTTGAAAAAAGGTTGTGTGCTCTCTCTTTGTGACAGTTTTGGATAGGTAGGTATATTTATTGCCATCTCTCAGATGAAGCTGAGAAATTGACTAAATTGCCTATACTCTTAAATGGTAGACTTGGGATTTGAATGTAGGGGTTTCTGTTTGTTTAAACTAACTTTCAAGCCCATGATTTCCTCTCAGCGCCATTTTGTGATTAAGAAAAAATAACATCAGAAGTGTGTTTTTTGTAGTAAGTTGGCAAAACCACACTATAGGAAGGAACCAAGGCCGAAGGAAGACTGTAAAGATGACCTAGTTCAGTGGTTCCCAAACTTATTTGGCCTACCGCCCCCTTTCCAGAAAAAATATTACTCAGCGCCCCCTGGAAATTAATTTTTTTTAAATTTTAATAGCAATTAAACAGAAAGATATATGTATTAATGTTTCTACCTTTTTCGTAAAATATAGTAAAGAAAGGTGTAAATTAGAAACATTGAAGTTTGAAATTATGAAACTATTTATTGAACTCAGAATAGAAAGGTAATACAAAAAAAGTTAAAACAAATGCACCTGTGGCCATCACCGCCCCCCTGGATCGCTGCAGCGCCCACCAGGGGGCGGTAGCGCCCACTTTGGGAATCACTGACCTAGTTGATGAGAAAGCCAAGTGAGGTTCTTTTGTGTTTGAATAGCTTAAGCAGAATTTGTAAACCATCAGTGGCTATGAAACAGATGAGTTGACAGCTGAGGAAATATCCTGGCTGTAGTTTAAATGCTAACTGACCCCGGCCTCTGGAGGTGCAAAGTCCAAGAAAGATTCAGGGTAAGTTAGTTTAATGAACTGACTGTTTAGATCAGTGGTCGGCAAACTGCGGCTCTCGAGCCACATGCGGCTCTTTGGCCCCTTGAGTGTGGCTCTTCC